ACTTCATATCCCATTTTTTGTTCTCAAGTTAGGTTGAATCTGTTTAATTTTAGGCTATTGCCTCTGCCAGAATGAAGGGAGAATATCCTGAGAGAGTGGGACAGCCAGAGTGTCAGGTAAGTATGATAACTGATTCTTCTGTCCTTCAAAACATGAGTCATAGAAGTTTTACTTGTGGAAATGTTTTTTTGGTTGACAGTGCTATATATGGTCACTGACTGACTGAGTTTTGGTTCTTGTAGGATGATTTTAAGAAATTGCTTATCTGGCCCATACGCTTTCAATTATAATTTGAATAATAAAAAAGTAAACAAGAATGCAGCTAACAGGTTCTTGTAGTTTTTGCTAAGAGTGCAAGGTTCTAGAGGTGTAGTAGACATATTAGTGAACACATGCACACAGCTAGAAAAGAACTCAGACCTAGTGTCTTCAGATTTTTTAAGAACAATCTTGTTTTTAATTGTACTCTTACATTAGACATCTTGCTATTTTTATTAGTCTTGATATTTCACCAGATCTACATCTTTGATTCACAATCTATTGAGTGCTTTAGCTTATATGTCATGCTGTGCAAGTGTTAAAGCTCAAAATTACTGAACATTTTTCCTGTAGTATTATCTGAAGACTGGAACATGCAAGTTTGGCCCTACATGCAAATTTCACCATCCCAGGGAAAAGGCTGGAATTGCAGGGAGGGTGCAGCTAAACACATTAGGATATCCACTCCGCCCGGTTCGTCTTTCAACTTTCATTGCCAGTTATATGTCCTCTTCTGCACATGTCTGTTTGCTTTGCTGAAAAGAAGTCTACTTTACTTTTGTAGAATGAAAAGGAGTGTGCATATTATTTAAAAACAGGACAATGTAAATATGCAAATACTTGTAAATTCCACCATCCGGAACTTTTCAATGTGGTGCCTTCGTCATGTGGTTCTCCTATTTATACTTCTGTACATTCCTCTGCAAGCGCTGGTCCGCAATCCTATACCGGAACTATGCCAAACTGGGCTTTTCCACGAGCTTCTTTTATACCAAGCCCTAGGTGGCAAAGTCCTTCAAATTATACACCAATGATTGTACCTCAGGGCCTTGTTCAAGTGCCGAGCTGGAATTCATATCCTGTAAGTTCATTTGGAGTAATGCAGTATATTTTTTACAGTTACGAAGCAATCACATTTATCTTTTTCCTTCAAAACTTTATTAAACATTATCTCAAGAGATTCCCTTGAGGAACAGCGAGTGCATGTCTGTACTGATTTGAACTTTATTCCCATGCTTATTTGATCTTCTGCAAATTGTATGTCAGGCAATGTATTTTCTCTAATGTATTTCAAAATTTGTGACACTGAAACATCAAACCTGTTCTTACATCAAATATTGGAGTTCGTATTTAGGGTTGATAGTTGCTGATTTTACTTGCCTCTAAGGAGCCCAATGCTGTCCGTTTCATCTTCTCAGGGTCAGCTGCAGTCACCTGGTGCTGAACAAACTTATGGAAGTTCACAACAAGGCGAATCTAGTGCAGGAAATCAGGGAATGCTATCACCCTACAGATCCAGTTCGTTTCCTGTGCCTCAATATGCGTTGCAGAGAGATAATGTATTTCCTGAGAGACCTGATGAACCAGAATGCCAATATTACATGAAGACAGGAGATTGTAAATTTGGTGCAGTTTGCAAGTTCCATCATCCCCGGGTGAGATCATTGCCCCCTCCGGATTGTGTCTTAAGTCCAATGGGTCTTCCAATACGTCCAGTAAGTCGTTAAAACCTTCACTGTTTCTGTTGTATTTTGTTTTAGGATTCCACTGTTTCTGTTGTATTGATCCTTTGTTTAGACATTATATCAATTATATATGAATATGTTGATTGCCGTACTACCTCATCTCGTTTTGGGATAGGCTAAGCAAATTTTCTTGTGGAAACACATTGTCATTGAGAATATGATCAATGCAACTGCTCGGTTGTTCTATAGTCAAGAAATTTTAAAATCAAATATTTGCTGTGTTGTTTATAAAGAGGTTCTCATGTCAGACAAAGAAAATGAAGGATTTTCCATACATCATGTTTCTCTGCCAGATGATTTATTTCAGTGGCATGATTTCTGCTAACAGTGACTGATTTATTCTCGTAGCAATAAATGCACACCATACTAAAGACACTAAAATGCATATTCAAGATACCACTATTAGACCATTCTTTATATGTGTTGGTTGAGCTCTGATTTATCATAAAAAACTTTCGAGGGCTGAGCCACAAATCTCACTATGATTTACAGCGTCATTGTTGATGCCTGGACACTGATTAGAGCAATGTTAAAAGTTACAAATTTGCTAGGACAGGTATTAGTTAGTTACTTGGTAGCATACAAGTTGTTGAAGGGACGAGTGCATAGACTGATGTCTTCTTACAAATAGAGCCTGTCTCATGAGTAGGCATTCGACGTGTTCGCTGGTTGGTTTCTAGGCTGGTTTGGGCTGACTGGTGCTGGTTTGTTGTGAGAGGAAAACACTGTTGGCTGGTTGAATAAGCCTGGCTGAAACCAACAAGCGAACAGGGTGATTAGCTAGTCCTTTTGCTACACCTCATTGAATGGTCTGTCATCTTGATTATCCTGTCCAATGGTTTTTTAGGGTGAAGAATTCTGCAAATTCTATTCTCGTTATGGCATCTGCAAGTTCGGTGCCAACTGTAAATTTGACCATCCTACAGTGGCTGCTCCAATGGGAGTCTATGCATATGGTTTCTCTGCGTCTGGTTCTCCTGCATCTGCTTCAACTAATGTACCTATGGCGCGACGCCTTCTGGGATCCCCATCCGGTTCTGGATATACGTCCTAGGCGTCTTTTTTCACTTGACCTACTTTGATGTATAAAATCCACGGCATTGCCTCAGGCGCTGTGAATGTTTCTCCTAACTTCCCGCCGGGATCAAAGTTCTGTAAATTGAGTTGCTACCGGAGATGTACAACACCCCCCTTTTTTTTTTTGTTAATCCAGATCTTTGGGAATAACTCTTGGAAGCGAATAAACTTTAGATGCAGAAATACCAGTTTTCAGGTGCCTGCATTATTTGACACAGCTGCACCTATGGTTCCTAACAGTTGATGAGGTAGGAAAATTCCCTGAAGGACCTGAAGCCTGCAGGTGTATCATTGCGTCAATTTGTTTGGAACCTGTATTCAGCTCGTGTTCTCAGCATATCTTGGGATTTCTTTTATCTGTGAATGCTGGTTTTCTGAATTGAACCGTGTGAGCGTTCTCTACATCCTTCGCCTCGAACCTCAAAACCGCTGTCAAAGCGTCAAAAGGTATACAGTAGGGGATAGATGAAACTCAAAGATGTGACATCTTTGCCATACTACTACTACAACAACAAAGTCTTTTAAATCCCAATCAAATTAGGATAGGCTAGAGTTGACACCCAATAGAAGCAATTAAGGTTCAGGCGCGTGAACATCTTTGCCATATTATTTTGAGAAATGTCACCATTAGTTTGCACACATGTTTCTGAGGTCAAATGCACCCCGCCAAGTCCAACAACTGAAATTAATGACTCGATAAGGCCGCGTTTGGAACAAAGGATTTTCGAAGGAAAATCAAAGGAAACAAAAACGCAGGAACGGGAGGACAGTAGAGCGTTTGGAACAGAGGAAAGTAATCTTTCCTTTCCTATGAAACACTGTAGCTTCTACGTAGTTTCACAAGAAAGCAAAACTCCACTCCAGTCTCTGGTTTCTGATTCCTTCGCGGAAGCCCGAGGTGACGACGACAATAATTCATCAGATGCATGGTTGTCTGCTGCTAAAAGCTGGTGGATAAGTAAGTGCATGGGTCCCACAATAGTAAAAAGAGCCTGGTAACTACTGATGTGTTTTTATAAAGATCATCATTATGTGTTAAGTAACGTTTATCTACCATATGCTTTGCAATTGCTATGTTATAAATTCATGTGTTCTAAACAGCCTAAATTTTCTATTCCTGTGTTTTGAAATCCCGTAGTTTTTCACTTTTCATCATACCTTATTCCTGCGTTTTTTTTATTCCTGTGTTTTGGATTCCTTCGTTCCAAACAGCCTTAAGGTGCCTAGCCTGGTCGGACACATTTCCTGTGGTCAGATTTAATCATATGGTAAGTTGCTGAAAAAAGCGAAGGACTTCTCTTATAATGTCACGTAGGCCAGGTGGCTTTATAGCTGTTGTGGTACCCATAATCTATATTCAAACTACATAGCTAAATATGGGTGGTCAAGCAAGAAATATAACTTGAGCAGGGCTTCTACTTAACGCGAGTTGTTCTAACTTATATGTTTATGAACCATCAGTCCGAACAAGTAAAAAAAACAGACGGGAGAAACTCTTTAGTGTCCGAGTATTTAGGGGTGGACGAAAAGAACGAATAAAATTTTGGTTTTTTTAATATTATTAAGCTATAGATATAGATTACATGCTTCCTGTAATAATAATAAAAATAAGGGTAGAGGATAGATATTTGATCAAATTAAAAAAAAATTGACTCGTCAAAAAATGACATGTAATTTTTTGACTCATCGACAGATGATCGGGCGCTCTTTGAACACTTCACATGGTTCGAGTACTCGGCCTCGGGTGCCCGTGCCCGTTGCGTCGGCCACGGCTAGCCCCGCCTCCAGCTCATCCACAATTCCACATCCACTCACAATTTTGACCAAAAAAAAAAAAACACCACCGCACGCAAGATCCGACGAGGCCATGACGCCAGCTGGTGCGTGTCAGCGTGTGCGCACGGGAGAGGGCGGTGGTGGATTTCCAATTCCAAATCTCCCATCCCGAGCCGTGCCCTCGCTTTCTCCGAAAGGAGGCATCTCCCGTCTCACTTTTTACATCTTCACTTCGCTTGGCCTACCAGCTGAGTTTCCCTCTCCTCCAGTCTCCACTACTCCATTCCGAATCCCCACTCCGCCTGCACTGCGCCGCGCCGCGCCGAGCGGACCGCCACCACCGAAACCCTAGAGCAAGCAGAGATGCACAGTCCGGTCCCGCTCCTCCTCCTCCTCCTCTGCACGGCCGCGGCGGCCTCCGAAGGCTCCCCGTCCCAGGTACGTAACGTCAGCCGCCAGCGTCTCTTCCTCCCCTACCCTCACCCGACCGCCTCGATCCCCAGCTGCAATTCCGGCTCACATTGCGCCTGCGCAGGCACCGGGGGCGGCGCGGCGGGGGATGGTACCGGTGGCCCCCGCGGAGGCGGAGCTCGGCGCCATGGCGCTCGCCCTCAACGACACGCGGCGCCGGCTCGGGGGCAGCTTCCAGCTCTGCGCGCCCTGCACCTGCTGCGGCGGGGCCAGCGGCGCCTGCGTCCTCGCGCCCTGCTGCTACTCCATCAACTGCAACATCCCCAACCGCCCCTTCGGGTACTGCTCCTTCACGCCCAAGTCCTGCGAGTGCAGCGGATGCAACCTGTGAGCTCCGCGGCGGCCGCGGGATTCATTCAATTTCAATTGAACTGGTCACAGTAAGAGTGAGTATGTGAGAGAGTGGGGTAGTAACGAATCTGTATAAATTCCCCACCTGCTTAGTTAAGTGGCGGTTGCTATTACTTCTAGCTAGTACTTAGTATTCTGCTGTGATCACTACTACGTGGTGGAGCTGCTACATTCGATTTGGTTGAGAGAAAAAAGAAAGGGGGCTGGGTTGATTTAGAAGTCACTACTCTGGGGTTTTGTTTTTATGTCGCCACACATTGGATGTCTGATTAGGATGCTACTTGTTCATAATGGTTTGTTGATAGCTGGAATAAATATATTTGTTTTGGTGCATGGATTTAGTGCCTTTTTAGTGGATGCCATCTCTTCCATCCTGATCGTGCCCTGGAATGTCCGTCCACGAAAGAATGCAATTCTCGCTTTCTAAAAAGTCAATCAGTTTGAACTTTGACTAAAATTATATAAAAAATACTAACATTACTGATACAAAATTAGTATTATTAGATTAGTCATAGAATATATTTTTATAATAAATTTATTTAGAGACATAAATATTAATACTATTTGTTATAAACTTAGTCAAACTTGAGCTACTTTGATCCGCATAGATCCTATAATTATATTTTTCTGTGGACGGAGGGAGTAGTTCGTTCGTCATCATGTCAACCCTTTTCTTTTCTGATGCTGACTGGATTGGCCAGACCTTATCAGCACATGGATTGTACTCGTACCTGTTCCCTTCTTCGCTCTTTTCTGCCATGACACGATATTTGACAGATCATATGTTCTGACGATTCAGACTTCCGGTCCCAAAAAGAATGTGGTTTTCGATTAGTCGAACAGTTTTAGGTTTGACTAAATCTATAACAAAATACTACTAATATTTATGATATTGAATAAGTATTATTAAGTTAATAATGAAGTATATTTTCTTCTTTTTTTTGAACGCAAATCATGAGTATATTTTCATAGTAAACCTATTTCGAGGCACAAATATTAATAATATTTTCTGTGCTAATATAGCTCGTTCATCAAAAATCATGTTCTTTTCTCTGCTTTACCAACTAACACCCTTCCTCAGACCCCGCACAGAGCGAGAGCTCTTTACACTGGGTACGCCCTTTTTTCTCTGCTTTACCAATTTTGAAATATATGGGATATTTTAAACATCAATAATACAAGCAGATTAAATACAATTAGTGTGCTTTATGTCTGACCAGTTCACATTTATTCTGCTACTACCCAGCTTCAAAGATAATTTGCTTGCCAATTTGTTACAAAGAAGCTGCATAACGCCCTGTGAATTTCAAATTTATCATAAGTTTAGTCATGAATTTTTGTTTTGCTGGTGAAGCTTACTTATTTCTGTAACTTACATCTTGACTCCTGGTGATGAAATGCACATGCGCTGCTTCAGAGGATATTTAATTGCCTACGTAGCAGAGTGAACACAAACTTTCATCACATGCCCCTGATTCAAAGTTGACTGAGAAAATTCTATTGTTTGCATCATCTTTAAACCCCCCCCCCCCCCCCACACACACACACCCACACCCACATTAAGCTGGGCTGGGATGCTGTCGTCCTGATATGTTGCCAGAACTCAGAACTCATTTTCCAGATTAATATTTGTGTATTACTGTATTTCCACATTGTAATGTTCCTTTTCCTGAAAACATCAGCGGGATGTTTGAGTTATATAAAGGTAGAAACATGCCAAAAGGAAAAGGCTTAGTGCCTAAGCTGTGCATAAATGATGTTTCAGTCGCATAACAAATGATCAGCTCACATGCAAATCTCGCATGAGTAATCAAGTTATAACTTTTCTTCTCAATCTTTGATTGCTGGCCGCAGAAGTACTGGAACTTGCATCTTCTGCTCTTTCTCTCGTTGCCACTCCTGCATGCCATCTCGTTGAGGATACGAAAAGTTCAGCTTTAGGCTGATCAGTCATGATTGCCTAATGACTTTCTACATTTACACTACAGCTAAAGCAACAATAAGCTGCAAAAGTTAGCATGATGGACCTCAACTCATTCTCAAATCCTTTGTTTTCCGTTCTGCATGGAGTAAGCCATTCATGTGCATAGGCGTGAGCATGTGCTGTTGGGTAAATTACACACTGATGTTACGGAGACATGTCTCTCTTTTTTTTTTCTGTAATAATATGCATGTGTTTGTGTGAAGGTGAGACCTACATCTTGAGATGAATGAAGTGACAAATTTTTCCAGAATTGACACCTCTGGGCTCTGGCATCTAATATGAGAAGATACTTCCTCTGATTGTAAATGTAGACCATTTTAAGATTTTAGTTGGTCAAACTTATCTAACCTGGCCTATCAATGCACTCCCTCCATCCCAAATTATAAGTCATTCTAATAATTTTGTAGAGTCAAAGCATCTCAAGTTTGACCAAATTTATATAATAAGATAATAACATTTATGATGCCAACTAAGTATCATTAGATTCTTTATCAATTATATTTTCATAATATACCTATTTGATGTAAAAAGTTTTTATAATTCTCTCTATAATTTTAGTCAAACTTGAGATGCTTTGACTCTTCAAGACTCTTGGAATAACTTATAATAATTTGGAATGCAGGGAGTACAAAAGATTTAGATTGTGAACTCACAGTTAACATCACTCAATCGTTGTGAAAAAAAATCCTTTCACTAGATATAACTAATACTATTTAAAATTGTAAGTCCAAAGTGTCATATTGGTGCCACGAACCTCCATTGGTACTTCAATAGCCATGATCGAGGTTGCGACCCACCTTTAGGGATTGTGTAACACCCTAATTTTGCATTTTCTAAAAAAAATAGTCAAATTGATTTATTTAAGCAATTTATGTGAGCATTCAAACATAGGAAAGTAATAAATTTTATAAAACTAAAATCAAATATAAGATTAGCTACAAGTGATGCATACATGCTGCTGCATATTATTTTGTGAATGATTGGTATTGATAAAAAATTTCAAAGAGAATTGAAATTTGAATTTAAAATGCTTTTGGAAAATTTGGTTGGAAAAAGAAAAAGGAAAATTCTTCTTTTCTCCCTTCCTGGATTTTCGGCCCAGCCCGAGCAGCCGCGTCAGCTCGGCCCTCCTTGCCTCCCCCTGGCGTCCCGCACCGGCCCAGCCCCGCTCTGGCCCAGCAGCCGCGCTAGCCTAGCTCCACGCCGGCCCAAGTCGCGCGCGCCGCTGGAAACTGCCGCGCCTCCCTCTCCCCGGCCGCTGACCGACCGGGCCCGCTTGTCAGCTCCTCCCCCCACCTCCTTCCGCGCGTCCCGCAACCGCCCGTGCGTGCGCCTGGAGAAACCGCCGCCCGCGCCCGATCTTCTCGCGTCGTGGGAGCGCGCCTGGCCTCTTTAAAACGGAGCCACGCCCGAGCCGCCCCCCTGCTGCCTCTCCCCGCTACGTTTTCACCCTCGCTCACGCCTCGGAGGCCGCAACCGACGCACGGCGAAGCACCGAAGACCGCCGTCCGCCGTCCGCCGTGACCCGCCTTCCCCGAGCCGTCTCCGACCCCGAGTTCCCCGCTATGAGCCTCCCCAAGCTCCCCTCTCTCTCCCCATGCGTTTATTTCCCGTTTCATGGCTTCTAGAGCCCTATCCGCGGGCGCCCGTGAGCTCTTGCTCGCCGGCCATGGCGGCCACCGCGCCCACCGACCCCGTTCTTGGCCTGGACGGGTTTGCGAGAACCTCCGCAACTCCCCGGTGCCTTCGTTTCTTCGAACCGTGGCCCGTAGGCCCCTAACCGCGCGCTCCGGCGACCTCCACGCCGCCGACCATGGAGCCTTGCTGTCGGCTGCACTGTTCCGGCCGCCATCATTTTCTCTCTCCCCCCGGATCCATTTCTGGCCGATCATTTCTAATCCGACGGCCACCAGTGACTGATACCCCTTCGTGGGTCAATTTGTTAAAGAGCCCCCCTTTTCCCGAAATAGAGCCCCCCGTCCTTAGCGTATTTCCCCGAGTACGCATTCTCGTTTTGAAACCGTAAAGTTCACTGCTTTAGTCTAAAATACGTTTTCAGTATTTACAGAAATGCCATTTGAACTATTTTGCTTATAAAATCGTCGTTTTAGCTCCGAATTGATCCATTCAAATCGCGTTAGCTTCGTAATTCCATAATCTACATGTTAGAACCACTGTTAGTCAAGTTTGGAACTTTTAAATTTCATGGTTAGATTTAATTAAATATATTGCTATAGGAAATCCCGTTTAAATCATAACTTTTGCATTTTAGCTCCGTTTTTCGTGAACTTCGCGTTGACGTAATCGTAGCGAGACGTAGATCATTTTCACAAACATTTTATCTTGTTTTCTATACTGTTGGTGTACTGTTCTAATGATAGGAATGTTTGCTTTGCATGAATGCTTTTGGAATGTTGTAGGTTGCCGTGTTGGTCGCGTTCAGACGGTGAGGAGAACGTTGGAGACCAAGAATTCTTCGACGACCAGCAGGACCAGCAAGAGTTTGTGAACCAAGGCAAGTATAGCATGGGCCTAACTTGATGTCCTATTCACTTTAATCATTTACTCATGTGCATGTGTCTAACTTTGATAACCATAAGGACATTCTAGTCATTTGATGACTTATTCCCTTACTCCTATGGGTTACTTGCATATGGGTAGATTGCTAGTGCTCTAACTGAACATGATCTATTCAATGGTTAATGGTTCTATGGAACTAAAAAGGATAATGTGATTTGTAACAACTGATCCATAGGGCAAAGGTGCAAATGACTTTTGATCATGATGCTCCCGGCCCTCCATAAGGACTTATCTGTCGGTAAAAGCTGGGACTGACAGTGCAACCGTGAGAGTCATATGGCTCTGACTTTAGCTCAGTAATAGGACCTTTTCTAGCTAGTTAGAGGTTACCTTTTTGGCACAAATGGGGCTTGCCACGTTGGGTATAGGGCTGCCTCTGTTCCTATGTGTATAGCCGCAATGGATATGTGCCATAG